GAGTAGAAACCTTTCAAACGTCCATCAACCGGGCCATAAATGAAAAAAGCATAGCATATGCTTATTATGAAATACTATTTGTCTATAAAAAACGGGAACCAGTGTGTTCTTTAACATAGATGAGTCATGAAAACATGCTTAGCAGAAGGAGCAGACTCCTGAAGCCACACACACTGCATGACTCCATTTTTTTTGGTCTTTTTGAGACAGTGTCTCCCTGTAGCCCCAGCTGTCCTGGAACTCACTATGTAGACCAGGCTGGCCTTGATCTCACAGAGCCCCTCCTGCCTCTGCCTCTCAAGTGCTGGGATTAAAGACTTGTGCCACCATGCCCAGCTTTCTTTGTCTTTTTGTTGGTGGTTTTTCGACAGGATCTCTCTGGTCACAGCCCATCTGGAAGTCACTTCCACCTGGAAGTGAACCAGGGTGGCCTCGGCCTTGCAGAGGTTCACCCGCCTCTGCCTCCTGAGGGCTGGGATTAAAGGCATGTGCCACCACTGAAGGGCATGACTCCATTTGTATGAAATGTACAGAGAGGGCAGATCTGTGAGACAGAACATAGATTAATAGTTGCCCATGGCTGGGTGGGTTGTGGGGCTAATAAGGGTGACTTGTAATGGGTGCAGGATTTCTTTATAGAGTAGCAAAATTATATTTTAAAATTAATTTGTAATGATGGTGGTTTAACTGAATATTTAAGTACTAAAGGCTTTTGTGAATTGTTTACATTTATTTATTTTATTTGTGTGTATGTGTGTGGGCTCACACATGCTGTGGTTTGTGTGTGGAGGTCAGAGGACAACCCAAGGGAGTGGGTTCTCTCCTCTACCATGTGGGTCCTGAGACTCAAACTCAGGCTGTCAGGCTTGGCAGCAAACACCTTTACCCACTAAGCTGTCTCACAGGGCCCATACATTAAAACATTTTTAAAATTTATTTTCTGAGGGGCCTCATGCATGCATGTAGTTCACTCTTCCACTGAGCTACAGATACCCACAGCCCTCACCATACACTTTCAATGAGTGTCCTATATGCTATGTGAATTGTGTTTTCATAAAGCTGTTATAAAATTTTAAAAAATATTTTTGTCTATTTTTTTATTATTTTATGTGTATGAGTGTATTGCCTGCATGTATGTGAGTGCACCTGTGTCGTGCAATGCCTCGGAGGACAGAAGAGGGCTTTGGAGATCCCTGGAACTGGAGTTAAGGATGGTTCATGGCCGCCATGTGGGTGCTGGGAATTGAACCTGGGTCCTCTGCAGAAGTAGTCAGTGCTCTTAACCACTGAGCAATCTCTCCAGCCCTATAAAATTTTTTTAAACTTAGTTGGACATGGTGTTGCATGCCTTTAACCCCAGCACTTGGGAGACAGAGGCTGGTGGTTCTGTATGAGATTGAGGCTAACCTGCTCTACATAGCTAGTTCCAGGTCAGCTGGGGCTACAGGGAGACCTTGTCTCAAAAAACAAAACCCAAAACAAAACAAAAAATTAAAACTGCTGGGGATGGTGGCACACATTATTTTTTCCTGGAACTAGCTATGTAGACAAGGCTGGCCTTGATCTCACAGAGATCCACCTGCTTCTGCCTCCTAAGTGTTGAGATTAAAAGCATACGCCACCACGCCTGGAGGTAGCACATATCTTTAATCCCAGCATTCAGGAGGCAGAGGCAGGTGGATCTCTATGAGTTCAAAGCCAGTTAGCCAGTGCTAAGTAGTGAAATCCTGACTCAAAAAAAATTTTTTTAAGCTATCAGAAGGGCTGGGGATATAACCCAGTCGATACAGTGCTTGCTTGCCTAGTATGCATGAGGCCCTAGGCTCCATCTCCAAGAGTGCATCAGCCAGGCACTGTAGTGCATGCTTGTAATCCCAGCACTCAGGAGATGAAGGCAAGAGGATCAGGCATTTAAGGTCATCCTTGGCTTTGTATCAAGTTCAAGGCCAGCCTTTGATCTGTGAGACCTTGTGTCACCAAAACAAGACAGCTCATCGTAGCCAGGCACAGTGACTCATTCAGGAGGCTGAGGCTAAGAGGATTGCCACAAGTTCAAGGCCAGCCTGAGCTGCCAAGAGACCATGTCTGGGTTGTGGCAGCATAGACCTAGGTAGCAGAAGTTATGTACTCTGGAGTTCTAGGATTAAAGATGTGTGCCACCATGCTGGGCTATAATATGTTGTGATCATATCTACTCTATTGTTATATTGTTACCTCTAACTTCCCCTAACCACCCCCAACATATCCCCCTCAACTTCATGACCTCTTCTTTTTTAAAAGATTTGTTTTCATTTATGTGTATGTGTGTGTGCCTGTGTGTGGGTATTCACATGTGTGTGTGTGTGTGTGCCCAAGGAAGCCAGAGGGGATGTTACACAAGCCAGCACAATGAAAGCTAACCAGCAGGGAAGAAGTTTCCTGGTCAGTTCCAGACAATTTCTTTATGTCCTACAACCAAAGTGTGTGATGTCTTCAGCAATAGGGTTTTACCATCTAGTTATGATGGGCAATCATCATATGAAAAGCAATGGCAATAGCTTGTGCTGCTTGGAGGGCGGCTATGAGCCATCTGTGACCAGTAACTCATAGGGAGGCATCTGATACTGGGCACTGAGATTCATTCTCTCTCTCTCTCTCTCTCTCTCTCTCTCTCTCTCTCTCTCTCTGCTGGGATCAAGGGCATGCACCACAACACCCAGCCTTAAATAGGAACCTAGGGGATAAAGGGAAAGAAGGAGCTCAAGAGAGGTAGGACCATAGGAGAAGGGTATTAGTAAGGGAGAAAGGGGGGGGAAATGGGGGCACCTTAAGTGGGAAAACCATGATGGAGGGGTGAGACAATGTGAGAGATAAACAATACCTAGCTAGTTTTGAAAACCAGAGAGAACCATATTACTCCTACAACCTACTGACAAATTATACATAGCAGATCAAGAAATGTATGTCTAGGTAAGGTTTATCTGAGAACAACTGGTCTTTGCACAAGATTTATCTAAATGACATACAGTAATAAAAGTGCCAGACTGGTGGAACTAACCTTCTTGGATGTTTAACAGACATACTTTGAGGCCTATAATAATTTGGTCAGAGGGACATAAAGGACAGGTTTTGTTCCTTGCCCTCCTAGGTCGACTAGTTCCAGGGGACTATGAGCATCTCTCAAAATGGCCTGTAATTGTGGTGGGTCACCTGTCCTCTTGATCAAGGAGGCCGAGGAGACCCTGCAAGTTGGACTTGAACCAGTGTCCAGTCTACAAAGAGGAGGGTCAACACAGTGGAATCATTTAC